GGGGGGGAGGGCGTAGAATGGGTCAAGAGGACCAAAAAAGTTTTATACCATTTTGCAATTTTCGCAATAATTAACAAGATATTAATTATTAGAAATAGCCGAATATTGGTCTTTAATAATTTTTTTCTCAAATACTATCAACTTTACAGAAAAACTATAAGAGACAAAAATTGTTTATTTTTTTTCTATAAAGTTCTGAGAATTTTTTTAGAATTTTTAATATTGTATTTTCTCATGATAATAAAAATAAAAAAATGCAATACTAAAAAATTGATAAAAAATTCTGAAAACATTCTTAGAGTTCTATGAGAAGAAAATAAACAATTTTTATCTCTTATAGTTTTTTTGTAAAATTGATAGTATTTAAGAAAAAAATTATAAAAGATCAATATTCGGCCATTTTTAGTCATTAATATTTTGTTAACTATTACGAAAATTACAAAATGGTATAAGATTTTTTTCTCTTCATCCATTCTACATCCCCAATGCGACTGCGACCTTACTAAAGAGATACCCTGTATATAAATTTGTGTCTGAATTATTCCATCGTTCATGTATGCGATAGTTAAACACGTATGCCGATTTGTGGGACATATGACGATCATGACGATTATTGAGAAAACCGTTATGGTGGCATGGCGATAACTCGTACATTTGGGTCTTCTAATTTTTATGAAGAATTTTTTCAACAACGGCAGTAGATATAAGAATTTTAGAGTGACGTTTTTATTTGTCACAAAAAATTGATTTAAAATAACCTAAAATAACAGTCACTCACTTTTCAATCTGAAAAATATAAATTTGCCAAGTCAAACGTTTTGGTTAATGTGACGATTACTGGGCCAACCACCTTATTGTACATTTTAACGATAGAGGGATATTCTTCTGGCGAATGACTTTCCACATAGTTGTGAGAATATGGAGCCGAGTAGTGGTGGTGGTAGTGTGGTGGTGGTAGGGCGCGGCATAACCGTCGCTTCTCTGATCAATACACCACCATCCCTCTCTCCCTCACTCCATATCTTGTTTCTTCTCTGGATGTATTCGTCTCTTTCTTTCCTGCTTCCCTTCCTACCCTCTTCTTTCATACATGTATAAAATATACGCGCTCGTACGGTATGCGCGGAAATATGCGCTTACGATGAAAAGAAATAACTATCGACCTTGTTTGCTAATTATTTATGACGCGTGTGATTTGTTTTAAATCACAATTTATTCAGTAAAATCCCTAATATATGTAATGGATATGTGTACCATGAATGCTAAAATATTTTCTTATGTTTAACGATTTTTTTATATTTGCCCGAAATGATTTTATCAAAAAAATATCATCCTCGATTGTATATATACATACAAGGTTGCCACAGACTTGGAAAATCAGGAAAAATTAGGGAAATTGAAATTGGTCATGGAAACCGGGAAAAGTCAGGGAAAAATGTAAAAAAGTCTAGAATTTCGAAATTTGCTCACAATTTTCTTAAACTGCTTCTATTCCAAATAATTGTCATAATTTTTTAAATTATATATGACGTTTACAGTCAAATACGTTCAAAATTTGTGCACTTTAAACGATTTTAATAAAATAATTAAAATTTTATTTAATTCATTTTTTTTTTATTTGTTTCCTCTTTTTCGTCATAACTGCATTTTTTTCTCTAAAAAACTAATTTATTTTTTGCTGTGACTTGAATTTGCATCCAAAATTGTACTATGCTACTAAACGTTTTTTTTTTTTATAATATTGACTAGCTTTTCTACAATCCGTGAGTCTAAATATTAAAATTTACATATTTTATATTACTTATGGAAAATTTTCTATTTTCATCTGGAAAACCTAGAAAAGTCAGGGAATTTTAAAATTCATTTTCTATGGCAACTCTGTTAACGTAATAAGTTACGATGAAAATTTATTATAAAATTATGCAACTGCGAAATATATTGCGGTCTTATATTAGAAATCAATGGTCTTGTACATACTCGTACATCTTTAGTATATCTTTAGTCTACTAAAGGTAAAGACTTATATATCCAATATACTCCAGCATTGAATCGCTTTAGGTACTACTGTCTACTGTATTATAATCTGATTTTAAAGGTCAGCTGAAAGATAGTATTGCGACATAATATCGGATTAAAAACACGCGAGCACTATTTACCGGATTTTCCTCTCGTCCCGTAACTTCCTTTTTCTAATTTCTTGAAATTTGTGGAAATTTTCAGCATTCTATTTAATTTAGTGACATGTTCGGTCATGATCGTCATTTGACTTTTCATGCTTAATTTGTGTATACACTAAACAAAGTTTTTTTTTTCACATGGAATTTATTAAATTTTCATGTGATGTGTATATTCGCTACCGGCGCGTTTCAATTAAGATGCTGCTTCAACGTGAAATTTGGAAGATTTAAATTGTGCGGTGCTTACAAATAAAATTTTCTAGTGATTGTTTATTACGTGACTAATAGTATACTGAAAAAAAAAGATTGGTTGCTGCAACAATTTAGATAGTAAAATGTGGCATAGCATTTTTATATGACTGCAGCAATCAAGTTTTTGGTTGTAGCAGCAAATTTTTAGTTGCGTTAGCCTATTCGCAATGTCAGTATATGATTTCGATAGGCTAACGCAACTAAAAATTTGCTGCTACAACCAAAAACTTGGTTGCTACAACCATATAAAAATGCTATGCTATTTTACTATTTAAATTGTTGCAGCAACTAATCTTTTTTTTTCAGTTTAATGAATAATTGCATACGATACGACGAAGTCTTTCTTACTACGTTATTGTGAATTTTATCGCATGTATCAAACGCAAGAAATAGATCCTATAGAAAAATAGATGTTTTATATATGTATACGTATATACAGGGTGTCCGATAATTGGTCTGATAGAGTTCAATAATTGTTTACTCAAATACTATCAACTTTGTAGAAAAACTAAGTAAGAGGTGAAAATTGTTTATTTTCTTCTCATAGAATTCTACGAATTTTTTCAGAATTGTTATCAACTTTTTAGTACTATATACAGGGTATTCCGCGAGACTTCTCGAATCGCCCACAGGAAACGCAAATTTACATATAAGTATAAGTCAAATTGGACCGATGAGAATAAATCAATTAAGAGAAATAATCCTATTCGATCAAAGTGGATTTTAGTGCTTCAATATTTCAGTGTTTATGTGCATATCGAATTGTGCAAATCGCGCGTCGAAATCTTGTTCCGTCTCAAAATGCAATCATAAACAGAACTAGAGTAGTAGTACCACATATTAAATTGACAAGCAATTTAATAATATTGATGTTAATAAGCGTCTTATAAGAATAACAAGCATTTTAAAAACTGTAAATAATTTATTGTGAAAAATATTACCTCAGTCAAGATTCGAATCCGCATCTTTCATTTACAAATTTGCCTATAATTTCATGCCGCAGGATGCCAGGAAAGCAGCATGCGACACGACCTTGGCCCAGGCTACATCAGGCATGGAACCTATCGGTCGCATACAAATGCGAACGAGACGTACGCTTCGCGGTCACTTAGCTAAAATTTATGCGATGCACTGGGGAAGTGACTCGAGGTATGACGATTAGATGCAAACACGTTAATTCGATGGCGATTGGCATGTAAAATAGTTAATCACTTTAATCACTTGGAGCTGATGATGGTTCTATTGAATTTACTCAGTATTCTTCATATTATCTGCAAATTTGAATTATTGTATATAAGTATTATTAAAATAAACTTAATATTTACATACACATTTTTTTTATTCGAGTTATGTTATTTTAATTTTTTGAAATTAATTAGTACTTTTTAGTCAATACTAAATTACAACGAATCTCTCATAAACTCAACGTCAGTAACTATGTTAGATTTTGATCTTCGTCTCTAGAAAGTTAACGTGAATAAAATTCTAGTAGCAATAATAGTGATTTTTTGAAAAAAAGGATTTAAAAAAGTAGGAAAATAGATGTCTTATAT